TTTCAGACTACCGCCTTTTTTATTATGTCTCGTCTCCACTACTCTCATTGCTCTCACAACCATGTTCCTATTTGCCAATCGGAAAATTGTCTTAATGTTAGCAAGATCAATTTTATTTTACTTATTTTACAAAAAACCTTACCATTAAAGCTAGTCGTGGGTCAACCCTAATTTGGATGAGCGTGCGCGATTTGTTACCTTTTTTTTTTATTTAAGAATTTCAACATGTTTATGGCAATTTCAATAGCTACGTTGTTAAATACCGGGAGCAAAACTTGAAGGTGCTGCGTCAACATGTACTGTGGAACTCTCTGTGCAACTTTAACAGTTTTCAACCTTGTAAAAGCTTATTTGCCTTTATTTGCCCGCTTTTGTGCATAAATTGAGTTTTTCATTTCGCCAAAAATAGTTGGAACAGATACCTATTCGCTATGATTTTCGTGTAAAACATTTGATAGTTAGGAATCCTCGCCGACTGTGGAAGAGCAACGCGGTCGTAGAGTAGAGTAGAGAATGTAGAGTCGTCAGTCGATCGGACGTGTCGGTACGACCCCCAGTCAGGCCATTCCAGACGGTGTTACTAGTATCCCGGATTACCCCGCTGGATTAAAATTAGATACCAGGTCGGATACACTGCCAATTGGTTGCTTTTATACAGTACAGTAGAACTGCTTCCATGGAGCGCAATAGAGTGCAGATAACATGCCATGTGGTCTCTCCCCTTTAGGTTGCTACGTAACCTTCTACAGGGGGGAAGTCACCTCTTACAGGGGCGGGAGTCAGATGAAAGCCTATCTCCATAAAGCCGGTTGACCATCGCAGTATACTGGGACAATACTCATAAAAACGCCATTGTCAATACTCCGATACTCCCTTAGTCGCCTATTATGACTCCCACGAGGAGAGATGAGGTGGAGCTCTTCTAGATACAATTGGACAACTAGGTAATATTCAACAGATTCGACATGTAAGTCAGTCATGAACAACTGATCGATACGTATTTATATGTGTAGAACAATTGGTACTGGTTCCAGGGATTGCGAATTCCAAACTACAATATCAAACCCGCAAAATTATAATTTGCGTAATTACTGGTGGTAGGACCTCTTGTGAGTCCGTGCGGGCAGGTACCACCACACTGCCTATTTCTGCCGTCAAACAGTAATGCGTTTCGGTTTTAAGGGTGGGGCAGCCGTTGTAACTATACTGAGATCCTAGAACTTATATCTCAAGGTGGGTGGCGCATTTACGTTATATTTAGTTATTCCATGTAAAAATTTTGAGCGTTTTTATTTTAAATTTGCAATATGAGGTGAAAGGATCTCAAGTGTTGATGATCCAATATTAATCAGAGGTATTTAGAAATTCTCCTTGTGAGTCTTAACTTGTGAGTCTGCACGGGTAGGTACCACCACCCCGCCTATTTCTGCCGTGAAGCAGTAATGCGTTTCGGCTTGAAGGGTGGGGCAGCCATTGTAGATGTCTATGGGCTCCAGTTACCATTTAACCCCAACGGGACGGTTGTGAGCTTGCCCACCCATCTAAGCAATAAAAAATACATTATTCAGTTCACTAGATACGATAAAGCGAACGTTGGAGATAGTAAAAAATAACGGTACGTTGAAAAAAGTATGGCAAAAAAATAGATATCCAATTAGTTCTGATATTGAGATCTCTGTTTCGCTTGGAACAACAATTGCTATTTTCTATATATAAAACCAATGTTTTTATCTCACTTCCCTTCAGTTGAAACTTGAAATAGTCAAATCCTAACTTTGCTATTCCATGCATGAAGATAAATACGTTATCCCTGAGCTCGCATAGACAAGAAATAGTATGCCATGTTTAATTTTGAACGCTATAACTGTGTGTATGAGATTTTTTCTGACGTTTTGAGCTCATAAGATGCTATACTCATATTAGCTTGCACGACTAGCATGGGATACGGCTACTTACCACCAGCGTGAGATACGGCCACCATTAGCTGCTGCAAATAGTTTCCTTAGATACATCCGTAGAGGCAACATCACATCAATTACTATCACCTGCACAAACCTTTTGTGATACATCCTAAGTTTACTGTTAGTAGACGGAATTACAGCTTCATAACAGTTGAGTTTCACAATCACTGTTTTTATCCCTCAGCGCATCTAGGGCAGAGTAACCGATAATTGGGACTTATAGTCCATGTCTGAAATAAGCAACCAGCAGATGGACTAAAATCGGATTATTTGGAACCTCTGGATCTGCGGAGGGACTTCACTTCCCTCTGTATTTTGTACCGCATGTTCCATGGGGAGTGCTCTGAGGAATTGTTTGAGATGATTCCATCATCTCGTTTTTGCCATTGCACCGCCCGCTACCGGAGTAGAATCCATCCATACTACCTAGAGCCGCTGCGTTCATCCACAGTGTGTTTTCAGAGATCTTTTTTGCCACGTACCATCCGGCTATGGAATGAGCTCCCCTACACGGTGTTTCCCGAGCGCTATAACATATACTTCTTCAAACGAGGCTTGCAACGGTGAAGGAGAAAAGCTGCTTTAGTGTTAAATACTTAAACAAAATGGAAATTTTATTAGTTTCACGGTTTTACGTTTTAATTCTTCTCCTCACTCGCGTCACTCTTGACAGAGTGGTCGTGACGATCATTTAGTGTTGGAGGAGACAGACTTGACGCGTCTCACGATGTCCCGCCATCTCTTCCTAGTCGAGGCCGTCCTACGGCACTCATTAAGGGGATCTTCCACGGTAATTTCAATTTGGTCGGTTCCTAAATACTAGTATAGTTAACACAATATCCAAATGGTGATGAATAAAAGCGACATTAAACCATAGAAATAGATAAAATAGATTAAATTATAAAAAATATTTATCATATTCTCTATTGAAATTCCAACATTAATACCGAGGCTGCCTTAGCAAACAAGAGATTATGGATATTTCGCGAGGGTTACAGGATGACGATGCCCAGTGCACTACCAACATAGCCACACTGTCGCAAAGCAGTGACAATTACTCGAAGATATATTAAGTACCCACCCGTAACTGATAATTAATATTCATATAATATATAATAGTTTGTTACTCACTAAGATCCTCTGTTTCTCAATAAAATTCTCTGTTCCTAATTCTCTTAAACGTTGATGCGCGTCAACTTGTCTTACTGTCACTTTACTATACACAGCATCAGGTGCTTGAAACATTAGCCGTCCAATTTAACTTGGCCGCCATAAGCCAATACGCGTCAACTTTTATAATTAACTTTCACATCTGAACTGTGACCTCGTGCATTTTTTCCCCTTGTGTTTTCGATTTTTTAGCTTTACGAGTAATCATTCATCATCATCATCATCATTTCAGCCTATCGCCGTCCACTGCTGAACATAGGCCTCTCCAATAGATTTCCAGTGCGACCGGTTCATTGCCACCTGCATCCAACGAGACCCAGCGCTTTTTACTAGGTCGTCGGTCCATCTAGTAGGTGGCCGTCCCACACTGTGCTTGCCAGTACGTGGTCGCCACTCCAGGATCTTTCTGCCCCATCGACCGTCCTCTCTTCGTGCTATGTGGCCGGCCCATTGCCACTTCAGTTCACTAATTCTACGGGTCAGCAACCTTCGTTCTTCTACGGATCTCCTCATTTCGGATTCGATCACGTAGAGAAATGCCGAGCATAGCCCTCTCCATAGCTCGCTGCGCGACTTTGAGCCTTCTAAAAAGATCCCTAGTGAAGCACCACGTCTCCGAGCCGTAAGTCATCACTGGTAACACACATTGGTTGTACGCCTTTGTCTTAAGGCACTGAGGTATTNTCTACGGATCTCCTCATTTCGGATTCGATCACGTAGAGAAATGCCGAGCATAGCCCTCTCCATAGCTCGCTGCGCGACTTTGAGCCTTCTAAAAAGATCCCTAGTGAAGCACCACGTCTCCGAGCCGTAAGTCATCACTGGTAACACACATTGGTTGTACGCCTTTGTCTTAAGGCACTGAGGTATTTTGGACGAGAAGACGTAAGAGTAATCATTATCAAAGTTAAATCGAAAGGTCAATCAGACAGGATGCTTTTATGCCACTACATCTCTTTAAAGTTGTTTCTAAAATGGAAGCTTTTACTAAGTAATAATTACTAAATAATATGTGATGAGCAGTAATAAATAACATTTATTTTATAGAATTAATTCTCTTTCAACTGACTTACGGCCGAATATACGCCCCCTCCAAACCTCGTCACAATGACCGGATGAAACTATCTATGAATTAGCTCTCTAACGTATTTCAGACAATTTGTTGGTATTAGAGCCTCCATCTACCTTGAGGTCATGTCTCTGTGCATCTAAAGAATAATTACACCTAAAACTAGAACATCACTGGTGGTAGGACATCTTGTGAGCCAGCACGGGTAGGTACCACCACCCCGCCTATTTCTGCCGCGAAGCATTAATGCGTTGTGCTAGAAAACAGAGACTTAGAAATCACGCTAAAATGCGCTAAAATGCTAATGCTCTATCTTATAATTGAACATATTATACTTACTATGGCCCAGCATTGTCTGGAAGGTAGAGATATTTAACAAAGGCTTTCATCGCAAAACCTAATTTTAGTATCGTTTCTTTGTTCGACAGATATTTCTTAAAATAATGAGGCTTTAGTTTCTCCGTAGGGATGATTAAAATAATAGGGTACCTACTGGAACTAAAAAATATGTTTACACCTCTAGGACGTAATTTTAAGCGTCCGATAAATAATTAAAAAGATCGTTAATTATTCTCGTGCGATATAAATCGAATTTTCCCCAGTCGTATTGGTTACCTGCGTAACATTTTAATATTAAAAACGTCTTAAAACGCATTGCGAGATTGAAACATCAACCCTTAGTGCCGACGAAATTAAACTGAAAATGGCTTAACGGATTTCTCGACATGCGCTTTCGTAAATTTTCAAATCTAGAACAAGAGGTGTTCCATCATTTTCTCGCATTCAGTTTTGGTCCGGCGTTAGGGCGGAGAGCACGTGTCGTGTCGCGAGCTATAAGGCATTTTTCGCCGCCCGGTTTTCCCAATAAATGGTATCGTATTATATTCGATTGAAATATTAGAATAAACGTTAACAAGTTTCTAGACGAATGTGAATATATCGGAAGCCTACAAGTGACCAAGGTAAGATTAGTTTTAGTATTTAGTTTTTCGTTGTGTTTGTGAGAGTGATTTGTTTTTCCTTGGAATTAGCTGATTTATCATTATAATTTAATGATTGGCGTCTTAAAGGAATGTGAATAAGTCCAAGGGTCCCTAGCTAGGTACATATACGAACACACACGGAGCAACAGTAGTTACCTCGCATAATCACCACTACAGGACAGAGCTTTTGCAAAAGTGGCCCGGAAATGTATTCAAATAATTCACTATAAATTGTATAATATATTAAATACTAGCTGACCCGACAGACTTCGTAGTGTCTCAATCGATAAATAAAAGACCTAAACTTTTGTATAAAATAAACTTAAAACAAACAAAAGAAATCCGTCCGATGGGGGACACATCAAAGGAAAAACTAAATTGCTATTTTTATTTAATTCCGAGCATTTTCTTATTGTCTTTTAAACCTTCTCTGGACTTCGACAAATAATTCAAGACCAAAATTAGCGAAATCGGTCCAGCCGTTCTCGAGTTTTAGCGAGACTAACGAACAGCAATTCATTTTTATATATGTATACATTAAATAGATCTTAATTTGGCGCATCCTTAAAAGATCATTTGGAAGCTTACTATTGTAATTTGTATTTAAATAAAAATTAAATGGCATGTACAAATGCGAGGGTGATGTTACAAATGTTTTAAATTTTATTATAAAAAAAAAGCTTTAGGGTGTCGTCTTACATAGGCAACTAGCTGCTAGATCTTTGTCTTATCTTATACCTTTAAACGAGCAATTCTTGTATATATATATATAATCTGAATCTCGGAAACGGCTCCAACGATTTTCATAAAATTTAGAACGCAGGGGATTCCGGGGGCGATAACTCGATCTAGCTACGATTTATTATCAGAAAAACAAAATTGTTCGGGTTTTCAATAATGAACTTTATCGATAATTTGTGATTTTTTCTTTAAATAACCAGTTCATATTTTGCTATTATCCTGTCGGTAAGATAGAAAAATATCATTCATATTTTATCATTTTATCAATATGTAATTCGTATTTAAATATGATATCTAAAAAACACAATTTATCAAAAAAAGAAATACCGAACCAAGGTCGGTCATTATCTAATAAGGCCTTAAACAAATTTTCATCCGGCAAACGAAAAGCCGATTTAAATCTGTAAGAGAAGTTTACAAATATTATAGTACCTAGTTTACCTATTAATTAAATACTAGAGGTCCCGCAGTAGTCGAAATTCGACTATAATTAATTGGAATTGTAAGTTTGTACACTATTATGATTGTATTTTATACTTCTATAATCACAAATTTCGCCAAGACTAAACTATAAAAAATATTAACAAAGACAAACAATATTTAATCTAAATTTGACAACAGACGTCAAGAACAAAAGTTTGACAATAAATAGTATGCATGCGTGTATGCGTCAAATACATGGTATGTAGTGTAGTGTGTGTAATGTTTTCTTTGTTGATTTAATGTATCATTTATGCATTATTTTAAAAAAAAATAGCGTTGTGCACTTCTTCTCTACATTCTCTATAAGTGTGGAAAATTTCATACTCCTCCGTCCGCGCAATTTTCGTAAAAAGGGATACCAAGTTTTTGCTTCACGTATTATAATTCAATATACCACGCTTTTTAACATATTAAACGGTATTAATTTTTTTTTATGTTTCATCTCTTTCTCTTATGATTCTTTTGTACATTGTATCCTGAAGTTATTAGTCGATCAGAAAAATACGTTTCATTCTTTTCGGTCGAAAGGTGGCACAGACTTTAAGCTTTGAAAATGACTCTCCTAACCGATGTAATTTATTTTTTATTTTTTATTGCTTAGATGGGTGGTCGAGCTCACAGCCCACCTGGTGTTAAGTGGTTACTGGAGTATATAGATATCTACAACGTAGACGCGCCACCCACCTTGAGATACAAGTTCTAAAGTCTTATTATAGTCACAGCGGCTGCCCCACCCTTCAAACCGAAACGCATTACAGCTTCACAGCAGAAATAGGCAGGGCGGTGGTACCTATCCGCGCGGACTCACAAGTGGTCCTACCACCAGTAAAAATAGTTCTATATATATTTTTATAGTTTATTTAAATTACTGGGTCCCTCCCGGTCGGTGATCATATAATAGTAATAAATTGCCGTATGCTATGCCTTGGTTTCATTCCTGATGCCGGCATGTACAAAGGTGCACACACACATAAACAAATAGACAAGTATCAATACAAGACGCTATTTAATATATCTTCATGTTGTTTCGAAAAATTTAGAATATATAACACTTTTTTTTCCTCATCAAAAACGTGACAAATGTTAAAAATAAGCGTCGGTTATCATAGCAACGATAAATCTTGACATGAATAGGTACCAGAGATAAAAATATTCAATGAAAGTGACACATAACAAATAAAAGTGACAACCAACAATGAAAGTGACACTAACAAATTAAAGTGACAAGCAAAAATGGTATTCGCAATTTTCAGGATTTACAAAAAAAAAGATATTCTACCTCTGTTAACTTTTTTTTTTTTATTACCTTTGTAGGCAGACGGGCATACGGCCCACCTGATGGTGAGTGGTTACCGTCGCCCATGGACTTCAGCAATGCCAGGGGCAGAGCCAAGCCGCTGCCTACCGCTTAATACTCTCCATAAGCCTCGTTTGAAGAAGGACATGTCATAGCGCTCGGGAAACACCGTGGAGGGGAGCTCATTCCATAGCCGGATGNCAAAACGGCAGACGTGGTCAAATGGATTTAAAATCCGTCAAAATCGGTACCTGTCCTACCTGAGCGCTCGGCGCGTCGACCACTTTGAGCTTAGTGAGTCCCCACCTCATGCATGGTAGGTATAGGGGTCTCAATGTACGAAAATTCAGGTCTGGTCAAATACATACAGGTAGATCCCACGGGCTCTCGGGCTATATGTCTCTGACAGATAATACTGCCCTATGTGACCGCCTTCATTGCCATTCGACATCTACAAATTTTTTCTTTATTTAGTTATAATTAACTTAATTTTTTTTATTGCTTAGATGGGTGGACGAGCTCACAGCTCACCTCGTTTTAAGTGGTTACTGGAGCCCATAGACATCAACAACGTAAACGTGCGCCAATCACCTTAAGTTTGTACTTGCTTCGGCAGTACATATACTAAAAATACAATACAATAAGATCTAAGCTCTCAGTATAGTTACAACGGCTGCCCCACCCTTCAAACCGAAACGCATTACTGCTTTACGGCAGAAATAGGCAGAGTGGCAGTACCTACCCGCGCGGACTCACAAGTGGTCCTACCACCAGTAAAAATAGTTCTATAAATATTTTTATAGTTTATTTAAATTACTGGGTTCCGGTCGGTGATCATATAATAGTAATAAATTGCCGTATGCTATGCCTTGGTTTCATTCCTGATGCCGGCATGTACAAAGGTGCACACACACATAAACAAATAGACAAGTATCAATACAAGACGCTATTTAATATATCTTCATGTTGTTTCGAAAAATTTAGAATATATAACACTTTTTTTCCTCATCAAAAACGTGACGAATGTTAAAAATAAGCGTTGGTTATCATAGCAACGATGAATCTTGACATGAATAGGTACCAGAGACAAAAATATTCAATGAAAGTGACACATAACAAATAAAAGTGACAACCAACAATGAAAGTGACACTCAGAAATTAAAGTTACACGCAAAAATGGTATTCGCAATTTTCAGGATTTACAAAAAAAAAGATATTCTACCTCTGTTAACTTTTTTTTTTTATTGCCTTTGTAGGCAGACGGGCATACGGCCCACCTGATGGTGAGTGGTTACCGTCGCCCATGGACTTCAGCAATGCCAGGGGCAGAGCCAAGCCGCTGCCTACCGCTTAATACTCTCCATAAGCCTCGTTTGAAGAAGGACATGTCATAGCGCTCGGGAAACACCGTGGAGGCGAGCTCATTTCATAGCCGGATGGTACGTGGCAAAAAAGATCTCTGGAAACGCACAGTGGATGACCGCAGTGGCTCCAGGTAGTATGGATGAACTCTACTCCGGTGGCGGGCGGTGCGATGGTAAAAACGAGATGCTGGTATCATCTCGAACAATACCTCAGAGCACTCCCCATGGAACATACGGTGCAAAATACAAAATACTTCACAGTGTGTATAGGTAAACTATAGGTTCTCTAGAACCTTAGCAACAATTAGGCAGTTAAATCGGAGCATTTGGTGATGGTACTGCCACTAAAAACAGATTTTTAGTGGAAGAGCGACGTCATGCCTAGGTTTTTTTTTCGTTGTTTAGTTGGGTGGACGAGCTCACAGCCCACCTGATTTTAAGTGGTTATTGATGTCCATAGACATCTACAATGCCTGCCCCACCCTTCAAACCGAAATGCATTACTGCTTCACGGCAGAAATAGGCAGGGTGGTGGTACCTACCCGTGCAGACTCACAAGTTAAGACTCACAAGGAGAACTTCTGAATACCTCTAATTAATATTGGACCATCAACACTTGAGATCCTTTCACCTCATATAGCAAATTTAAAATAAAAAAAACACTCAAAAATTTTACATTGAATAACTTATCTTCCCTGCCTCCCAAAAGTCGCGCAAAAATTAATGTTCACCATTTAAGTAGGGTGGAATGTGAGGGAGCACTTAATTATATTCCGGGATTTTTAATTAAATAAATTAAGTGAATCCAAAAGGCCCATGGGTTCGATGATGTACGGTTTTTGTGGAGAGGTAACAAGTCACATAATATGTGTGTTTGCTTTAAAGTCTATGGATTTGGATTCAAGATAAGATTGATTCTTGCTCCGGGCTTTGAAATGGACTAACTAAATAGACTTAAATATACCTATATATATTGCTACACTTTATTAATTCTTGATATGAGAAAGCTATCATAATCACCATCAGGTCTACGCAGCAGACATCCAGTGGGTTCCCGTGACCTTTAAGGTCGTCGGTCCATATCGAGGAAGGTC